CTTGTGTCTAAACACTTGGGTGTTTTTCCTAATTTAGGCATTTGGTTTGGAAGTTGTTTAGTCTTTATAGTCACAGCCTTCCTTTAGAAACATAGCATAGGAATATTGATGTCTTAATGTTGGAGTTTTCAGCCAGACAATGTGTTAGTAATTTTGGTGATATGTCGAGGCCAGTGGTTTGTCAGTTATGTCCTTGTTAGGACAGGTTTTTCTTCATCTGTGTAAACTGTGTACGCTTCAACAACACTGACTGCTTATGTAAACAGCATATTTCACATTTGTGTTTTTTAAATGCTGTTTGCAAATGTAAAAAACAAAAAGTTATTTTCTGAACTCTGTTAACACTTAAATATAAGAGAAAACACATTTAGGTTTTCCAACTTAAAGTCCCACAATTAATAATTCACCCAAAAATGGAAAGTTGTGGTTAATTTACTCACCCTAAGGCCATCAAAGATGTAGGTGACTTCTTAAGAAGATTTTTTTGATTAAACCACAGCATTGGTTTGTTCAAGCAAACTAATCATTATTTACAACCAGTGTTGGGAGCATCACATTGCAAGTAACATGAGTTACATAATAATATTTCATTTCTAAGTAATGCATTTCATCAAATGATTAAGTTGTAATGGTTTAGTTACTCTTTAAAAAAATGTGCATTCATTCATCCATTTTCTTTTTAGCTTAGTCCCTATATTAATCTTGGATCGCCACAGTGGAATGAACCGCCAACTTATACAGAATATGTTTTACGCTGCAGATGCCCTTCCAGCTGCAACCCATCACTGGGAAACACTCATACACACTATCGTGCTACCCACTGCCCCACCGTGATGCCTTTTTAAAAATGCAATGGAGTTGATTTTTTAAAAGTATCAAACACGTAGCTTTGAACTAGGGCTGCACGATATTCGAAAAATCTGATCTATTTTATTTTGCTGCAGTATATATTGTGATATGAAAACAATTTTGCCAGATGTCTTGAATAGATCTATTTGTGAAAAATTATTTATTTAGATTGGTTGGGTTGCTTTTGTAAGGCTGTGAATCATGGATAAAAATAAAACTTCAAGAATAATTACAAGCAAAAGAAAAACTAATTACTACTACTAATTACAAGCAAAGAAAAAAAAGTAAATAAAGAGTTCTTTATGGTTTTCTGGAGGGTCAAACAGTATTCAAATACAGAAATGTAGTCCTGCAAAATAATATTGTATAGTCTTCGTTGTGTTCAGAAATCAGTCATTTTTTCTTCATTAAAGTTACAAGTGTTTTATGTTATTGCTTTACACTCTTGAAGTGCCTTTCAAACACATGCAAATGAAAAGTTTTACTCTGTTATGGTTATATGTTGCAATGACTCCACAAAATTATGTATACTAAATTGTTGATCGATTATAATCCCAACTTAACATTGCATACCCTGTGATGTGACTATTCCAGACACACACATTGCGATATCAATGCCGAAACTATATATTGTGCAGCCCTACTTTAAACCTTCATTATTCTCTACATATGGCATGTACAGCTTTGGAGTCAGGAAGTTCCCAGAAGATAACATTAAATATATTTTTAAAATAAGACAGAATTATTATTATTTTTTTCTCTTATATATTTTTAAGACTGAAGATAACATGTATATATATATATTTTTAAATCTCAATAAAGGTGTAGGTTATAGTGTGTTGTTAATTGCAGAGCTCCTCTATTTTAATAAAGTTCTGAAAGAGATCAAGTCTCAGCCAGGTATGGAAAATTAACACACAAGAAACTAAACACATTACTTACCATAAAACGTAACTAAGTAACACAACTTTACTTTATTGAAGAGTAGCGCAATATTGTAATGCATCACTTTTGAAAGTGACTTTCCAAAACATTGTTTAATACAGTATTACTTGTAAACATTTTGTTTTATATGACCAAAGTAAATTATCCGGAGATATGGTTATTAATAGTATGTGTTATTCAATCATTCATTTTCTTTCCAGCTTAGTCCCTTTAATAATCAGAGGTCACGACAGTGGAATGAACCACCATTGTATGTATTATAATATGATTAATTATAACATTCGTGTCATTTACAAAATTTTGATTTACACTGTCATCATTTTGCATCTTTGCAGCAACTGACTGAAGAAAATGAAAATACAGAATTAATGAATTCACTTAATTAACATTTATTTGAGTCATCACATTCACATCATGTCTGCATAGGAGCTCACACTAAATCAATGAGCTTCTTTCCCAGCAATAACAAAGTCCTGACATGGAAGGATGGGAGTTAGACTCATCCTATCGCACGTGTTCAGTCTGCTCCATAAGTGCATTTGAGTGGGTGTACATGCAGAAACACCCTACACTTTCTGAAATCACATGTAAAAACACAATAAATTGTACTATCTAAATTCTACAGGGGCGTCACGGTGGTGCAGTGGGTAGCACAGCAAGAAGGTTGCTGGTTCGAGCCCTTGCTGGGTCAGTTGGCATTTCTGTATGGAGTTTGTATGTTCTTCCTGTGTTGGCGCAGGTTTCCTCTGGGTGCTCCGGTTTAGCCCTACAGTCCAAAGACATGCGCATTAAGTGAATTGAAAAATATCGGCCGTAGTGTATGTGTGTGAATGCAAGTGTGTATGGTTGATTCCCAGTTTTGGGTTGCGGCTGAAAGGGCATCTGATGCGTAAAACATATGCTGGAAAAGTTGGCAGCTCATATTTGATGTGGCAACCCCTAATTAATAAAGGAACTAAGTCGAAAAGAAAATTAATGAAATTCTACAGGCATTTTCTCCAGAACATTTGCAGTACTAGTATCAGCTCTTCCATGCCCCAGTACTGGGTGGGAGAACTGTGCCCTAAATAATAATAACTAAAAGTGTAATTGTGTCGGCACCTATAGTCTACGGCAGAGATGCCCAAAGTGGGGCCTGTGGGCCAAAGTTGGCACATGGCAACCTTTTATTTGGCCCGCCATTCCATCTGAAAAGAGAGGGAGAATGACTGGTAGGTGGTTGGGGTTAACGCCTTTGACAGAGATCGTCATTTCAAATTTAAGGTAAACTTTAGTTTCTTTGTTTTATTGCTGAGCTACAAAAAAGCCAACTAAAATTAAATTATTTAATTAAATGCTGGAAATGAATCAGAAAGTGTAAATACTGTCACACGACAGATGCATAAGTTATCTACGGACACATCAAAGTAAGCTCAACTTGTGTATTTAGCATTGAGCTTCTGTTAGAAAAGGGATTTTTATGTTTTTCTATAAGTTCATTATAAAGGGGCGTCACAGTGGCTCTCAGTAGGTAGAACGGTTGCCTCACAACTAGAAGGTCGCTGGTTCGAGCCCCGGCTAGGCCAGTTTGTTTCTATGTGGAGTTGGCATGTTCTCCCTGTGTTCACATGGGTTTCCTCCAGGTGCTCTGTTTTCCCCCACAGTCCAAACACATGTGCTATAGGTGAATTGAGTAACCTAAACTGGCAATAGTGTACGTGTGAAGGAGTGTATGTATGGGTGTTTCCCAGTGTTGGGTTGCAGCTGGAAGGGCATCCGCTGCCTAACTATAGGTATATGCTGGGTAGGCTGGTGGTTCATTCTGCTGTGGTGACTCCTGATTAATAAAGGAACTAAGCCGAAAAGAAAATGAATAAATGGAGTTCATTATAAAATGTAAAAAAAAGATACTAAATTTGTCAGTATGACTTAAAGCCATGTTGTCCAGTTATTTTTAAATATTACTGAATAAATTGGTCTAGGGATTAGTGTGTTTGCCGCTCGTTCCCCTCTCTCTGCTCCCCACACTTGCCTCCACTGTCCTGTGAAATGAAGATTTAAACAACCCTAAGATTAATTATAAATTAAATAAAGGTGTATTTGCCTCCCAGTACCAAACATACCTCATAGAAAGTACATTTCCAGTTCAGAACATGTCTGACACTCTCATACAGGAAAAATATGGTTAATATTTGGTGTAGTTGGATTGATCATTCACATGTTAGTCAACTCACTCACTTAGTAACTGGCTCAGTTTTACATCTCTGCTCTGTGAATTTAGGCAAATTACAATTTTCAGACATTTTTATATAAAAAAAATCTATAATAATCATATTAATAATATGAACGAATTTAAAGTCAGATTGACTGTTTTGCCTTTATTTGTCTCTAAACTTGATTAATCAAATGAATAAGACTACATAAACAAATCAGCTTATAAATGGCATTTATTTGCAATTATTCTCACACACAATAGTAATGTTTGATGAGGCGTCCAGTAAACAGAATAATAATACATGTGTGCACACAAATATGTACACATTAATCTGAATTCAATACAATAATGGAAGGAATGTGAACAAGAGATACAGGCAGCTTTACTGTTTAACATATTTATAGACATTTTTTTCCCTTTATTTTTTATGCCAAGAACAAGTTACATTATTTATACAGAAAATTGACATTTTATTTATAGACATTTTAACAGTGTTTTTAACTAATAATGAGCAAAGGCCCCAATAGCACTGCAAAGCGTAATTCCTCATTTCTCTGAAATCTATCTGTCAGGCACGTCTCTCCCAGAAATGGAGATCAGGCAGTCATCGTGAGCTTTAATTTCACTATTAAACACACAAAGGCTCGGCATTCAGATAGAGCCTCCAATGCTGCCTGAGCCACTATTATTATAAGAGCGTGCAGCTTTTCCTCCATGCTTCTGCTTTAAGGATCCTCCCTCCATTTTTTTGAGAATGAGCATGAGAATGAGGTTTGACTGCAGCAGAGCAGAGGAGGAGGAGGGGTTTGGTTGGCGGCGAGACGAAACTCCAGCTCGGTGGAGCGGCCAGTCAGCGAGCGGTGCCTTATCTACCAATGGAATGCAACAGCTGCGGCAGCCTGTGAGCGCCTCAGCCCAGCCAGTGTGTGTGTGTGTGTTAAAAAGGGGGAGGGGGCGGCGGTTATAGTGGGCCCGCAAGAACCCCCCTGAAAGACCCCCAGCTCTCAACCCCCCGCGTCCACTCGCAGCCGGGCTCCTGAACGGCAGCTCAAGCAAACGTAAGCGAGAGAGAGAGAGTGAGAGAGAGAGACACACAGAAAGAAAGAGAGGGACAGAAAGAGAGAGAGAGAGACTCGACAGAGCAGCACACACAGACAGACTGAAACACACACACACACACACAGAGAGAGAGCAGAAAGTCAGGGAAGTGGAGCAGGAGCCTCGCAGGGGGGTTGAGGAGGTGAGCGAAGGGTGAAAGAAGGGAGAGGGAAAGACAAAAGGCAGGAGAAGCGGAGGGAAATGGCTTCGGAGGAGACCGCTGGAGGAGCGCGCAAAGCCACCAAGAGCAAACTATTTGAGTTCCTCGTCCATGGAGTGGTATGTACACTCTAGCCGTGTGTGTGTGCGTGCGTGACACAGCCTGTGTGTGTGTTTGAGTGATAGCGCTGAACGGTGTCCATGTGAAGGTTATTTCCAGTCCTCCGGATCCCGGCTCCGCGCCGCTCTTCTTGTTAAAGCCGGGGTGGGGAGACGCAAGAGTGCGTGTTTGCGCGTGGAGGAAGAAATACGCGAGAATGAATCGGCGAATGCAAAAAGAGAAGGGCCAAAGGTAGCCACTGGTCACTGGAGGCTGCATGCGTTTGGCAGCGTGCCTGAGGTGACGGACGCTTCCAGTCCGCTCCGTGACTCAATGCACTGTTATTACAACTCCAAAAACACACACCAAGTGCTTCAAGGAGAACATCTACGGTGTGGATTGGCGGGGCTGTTGTCATGCCGTTGATTTAGAAATCTAGCTGGTGCTGGAGCCAGAGGATGCTGTAGTGGCGGTTGTAATTATTACTACTACTAATAATACTATGACATGATGACTGTAGTTGGCCATGTGACAGTGCTCAAGGTTTGATGCAGGAGAGGCAGCGAGGGTCCACTTATTGTCTGAAGCTTTGTGTACATACAGTAGCGGTGTAATCTTTTATTTATGATTAGCAGGGCTTTGTCTAGTCGGAGCAGATCAATCCGAGCTGGAAAAGCGGTTTGTAAAGCTGAATTCTTCTGCTGTTCAGCGTATTGTTTTCTGTTAGTGTCTTTGTGATCTTGTGTTGTTTCTTGCAGTTTTCTGTGAAGCGACCTTGAGTTTTAGAAAAAAAACTGCCAAAATTAATAGTAAAATGTTTATTAAAATGTGTTATTTGTGTTGTATCGTTGATTGGTGTCAGGGTCTGACTGCAGTTTTACCATTGATCTAATTATTATATTCAATTCAGAGATTTGTCAAGTTCTGAGAGATGCTGCCATTCATGCTACTATTCATATGTTTAGGTGCCATCAGATAAACATATATATATATATATATATATATATATATATATATATATATACACACACACACACAATATGTATGTATACACACACACAATTAATATTAGAGTAATTTCTGAAGGATCATGTGACTGAAGACTGGAGTAATGAAGCTGAAAATTCATCATTAAATCAGTGGAAAATTTTAAACCACTATTAAACAGTTCTTTTTTAGTACAATAACATTTCACAATTTTACAATTTATACTGTATTTTTGATGAAATAAATGCAGCCTTGTCGAGCAGGATAAGCTTCTTATAAAACATTTAGAAATCATACCGACCACAAACTTTTGACCAGTAGTGTATGTTTTTTAATAAGAAATATTATGTACACAGTATCCACACACAGTTTAAGCTGCAACATCTTGAGCCATAGATCAGCGTATTATCAGGATTTCTGGAGGATCATTTAATGATGAACACTGGAGTAACGCCTGCTCACATTTTAGCTTTGAATCACAGGAATGAAATACACTTTAAAATATTTTTACGTTGAACAAATGTTTATTCAGATAGTTATATTTCTGAATGTTACGTTCAGTATAAACAATACAACACAAAATAGTTGTTTATGGTTATAATAATACTATAATACAATTATAATACCACCGCTATAATTGAAATAGTGAAACAAATCAAACCTTTGTTTAACGGTTCACTTTAGCTTGTGTTTTTAAATTCGCAAGAGAAGTACTTTCAGGAATGATCTTGATTCATTCACAGACATCTAGTTCACCCTTGGCCTCAGCTCTGCATTGAGCTGCTTTAACTTTTACCACACAAATGCAGATTTTGGATGATGAATGAAGAAAATGATGGTGTTGCCTCTGCAGACTAATTAACCTTGGCGAAGCACTGATTGTTCCTGGACAAATGTTTCCCTGCTCCTTATTTTGGCTTCTTCTATGTCCTCTCCTATGTCTGCCTGTGTTATTCTCCTCTTCATCTTCTAGGTTTCTGGATTCATGTGCTCTCTGGATTACCTCAGTTTGACTTTTGCTACTGTTCACCTCTGCTTCACTGTAAAAACCTGCCATATGAAAGTTATCTGCATATTCTTTGTAACATGACTGTGTATGAGCACAGTTTGAGCTGCAAGAATGTGGTGGTTCAGCCTTGTTCCCAAGGCAAGGAACAGTATGTGCACATCAAGGTTTGCATTTAAGTAACCGTTTGAACAGCTGCGGCTATGAGTGCAATAAATTCCTAAAGTTTATGTATTGAAGAAAACTGGTGCTCAGTAATGTCACAGTTTCTTTGCCATCTCTTAGGTTTGCTTATTTGGCGCATAATAGATTTTCTGTCTGATATATCACATCACATGTGCTGACAGGGCTTGTTAGTTGTTGTTTTTTTTTGCAGTATTTGTTACTTTAATGGTAATCTGTTATATTAGCTCTTTCATTCTTAGGCACAAAATAAGTGCACAGTGTTGGCTAATGACAGACTCAGTCTTACTGTGTATCTGTGTGGATAAATAAAGATGACCTACAGGTCATTTCACTCTAAGAGCGGAAACTCATTCCACTTCACTTTAAAAAGGGGCAAACCATGCTAAAATAAACAAAATTTACAAGTTCAGTTTCTCTTTTATTGTAATAAGCTGTTTGAATTTAAATAATGAAACCAGAATAGGTCAGCAATTATTGACCTTTACCCCATTTTCAAAGCTTCAAAGAACAAATTGGATTGTGAAACATGGCAATATGATTATGAAACAATCAAACAAACTGATTAAGTGAAATGACGCTAAATCAGCCCAAATGAATGAAGACATTTTCACATTATGAAAGTTATGTGCACTAAACATTTAAATTCAGATTGATATTTGTTAACATGTATTCTAAAAAGGATTTTCCAAGGATGTTCCAAGGCCGTGATAAAATTATAAAACAACCATTAAAATTAAGCAGAAACCACTCAATTCAATTTATTTTTTATTTCCCTGTTTTTTTATTATTATATTTGTCTCTGTTGAACCAATATTGCTGCTATCTTGAAAACCTTGATATATCTGGTGGCCACATTTTAAAAGCACACACATTATGTATACACACACACACATATATAATCATGCATACAGTATGCACTCACCAGCTGATTTGACTTTAGTGCAGTGGTTCCCAAAGTGGACAAAAACAGTGGGTCGTTTGGTGATTTACAAAAATCAAATAAATTATATTAAACTATTAGGATTACCATATTTTATCCTAACCCACAGAAGATAAAAATAGTAGTTAATACTCACATAAAAAAACAACAAGCAAAAGCCATCAGCTTTTTCATATTTTTTGTTTATGGTAGATTAACAACACAGCAATAGTGTCAGCTGCAGCAGATGGATTTTATAGCACCAGGTTAAACTTTTGACACCTTTATGGCAATCAAATACATTAAAAATAAATACAGGCCACAGCGGAACATTGAGGATGATCTCTGATTGGCGGTCTCGAAAATTAAACCAAAAATACACTTGTGCTGAAAACATGTCCACATGTTAAAAAAATTACAATTTAAATTATAGCCTATGGTTGCAGACTGTTGCACTTTTTGTGTTTTTATATTGGCCTATTGTTGTGTGTGCAACATTTATATATTTATAACCACCTCTGGCGAATGTGGGGGTCACGAGTCAATGGCATTGTTATTTTTGAGATCGCAAGCTGAAATGTTTGGGAACCCCTGGTTTAGTGAACTCAATGTCATATTAAAGAAAGCACTTTGAGATGAACTGAGCTTTGTGACATTGAACATTGATCTCCTGAAAGTAGCCATTGAAAGATGGATACACTGTCACAAAGGGATAAACATGGTTAGCAACAATACTCATTCAGACAATGTACAGTTTGCAACTGAAATACTCATACCAGAACATAGCCCTAAACAACCAAGAACCAAATGGCCTTTCTTTCCTATTGTGATGCTGAGAATAAACTGTCCTGACCATGTCTACATGCCTAAATGCATGAAGCTGTTGAAGCCATTGGATTGACTGTTAAAAAACATTGAACTCTACACTCTCAGAAAAAGAGGTAGGTGAGCTGTCAGTGGGGTGGTACCCTTTTTAAAGTACACATTTGTACTTAAAGGGTATATATTGGCACCTCAAAAGTATATATTAGTACCTGAACAATTTAAGAGGAACACTTTTTTTGTACTTTTTAGGTACTTATATGAACCCTTGAGGTATTAATATGAACCAGTGATAGCTCGCCTACCTTTATTTCTGAGAGTGTATAAAAGTGGTCAGCGAGTAAACATTTATTCATTCATTCATTCATTTTCTTTTTGGCTTAGTCCCTTTATTAATCTGGGGTTGCCATTGCGGAATGAACCGCCAACGTATCCAGCATATGTTTTATGCAGCAGATGCAACCCATCTCTGGGAAACATCCATACACACTTATACACTACGGACAATTTAGCCTACCCAATTCACCTGTACCACATGTCTTTGGACTGTGGGGTAAACCGGAGCACCAGGAAACCCACGCGAACGCAGGGAGAACATGCAAACTTCACACAGAAAAGCCAACAGACCCAGCCAAGGCTCGAACCAGCGACTTTCTAGCTGTGAGGCTACAGCACTACCTTCTGTGTCACCGCGTTGCCCCAGTGAACATTTAAAGTTTGGAAATAAAATAGGTCGAATACATCATGTGATTAACAAAATTGTATATTGTGTGTTAATATATAATTAAGTACATAATGAACTGCTGCCATGAGACTTTAAATATCATTTAATATATTAAATATAATAGAGGAGGCCTTGGAGTTGCCCCTGATCCACACCACTTTCAAAATTTAGCTTACATTGAGTTCTCCGACTGCAATTCTTCATGTAAACACATCATTCAGTCTGACCAATTATAAACTGATTCATTGTTTGAATGTCAGTGTGGCTAATGTAAACACTTGCAGTTAGGTTTCACGAGTGAATTAATATAGTTATGGAGGTCTATCCAGTCAGATGTTTGTGCAGTCTTCATATATTACCAGAAAGCAGAGAAGCT